CGCAGCTACTACCAGAAGTGAAGCTGGGAGGATGATGGGGATGGTCACGCTTTTGTGAAGGGCTCTGCCTGAACCCCGGGTCAGAGGGAGCCCCCAGCTGCTCAGGCTGGCGTCCTTTCCTATTTCCCCTCATTTCCTAATTCTGCCTAGAAAACCTGCTCATGCCGCTCACCGACTTATCCCGACCAGGGTCAAGGTCCTATCAGGCGGGCCTCCTGGAGGTCCCCATCTCCTGTCTCATCCAGGGACAGGTTTGCTCAGGCCCTTTTCTGAATGTATTGTTTCACCCAGGTCAGCATCGCAGGGGTGATTTCTGAGGTAGAAATGTCACCCTTGATTCACAGGCACAGTCGGCTTGGCCGGGACTAGGACCCCACACCAGTGATGCTGTCACTGTCACTACTCGTCCCTGTGACCCTGGCTCAGGTCCGACCCTTGCAGCCGCCCAGCTCATGCCTACATAGGTGGTGCTGAGGAGATCAGGGCTGGGGCAAAGTGGTCTGAGCAGAAGGTGCCAAAGCTCACAGAAACCCACAGCTCAGGTTGAGGAAGATGTTTCCTAAAAGAAAGAAGGTCTGAGGGCTGGAAATCTAGCTCAGTGGTTCTGTTCCGCCACCTGCCTTGAAAGCGCAAGGTCCCAAGTTTGATCCCCAGTATCAAAAAAAAAAAATGTGTGAAGGTGTACGTGGTACAAGAAACCCAAAATGACACCGTAGCTACTGAACACTGCACATGGAACCAATCAGGTGTTATTCTTAGTCCTTCATTCGAATCTGACACTGTTTGAAAGACCAATCAGAAGATGCTATTTTCAATCCTTCATTTGCATGTGGTCACAACCAATCAAGATGCTGTTCTTTTGTTTTTTTTTTTGAGACAGGGTCTCATTATGTAGTTTGAGAATGACCTGGAACTCACTACCGTAGCCCAGGCTGGTCTCAAACTCACGGCAATCCTCCTGCGTCAACCTCCCGAGTGCTGGGATTATAGGCGTGTGTACCACATCCGGCCAAAAGATGCTGTTCTTGAGCCTACATTTACAGCTGGCATGAAGTCAAGTGAGTTTTCCATAATACAGTTGTCTCAGTGTCTTTCTTGAGAGGAAGCCAATCAGAGGATTCTGGGTGCAAAAGACCCCTTTCCCTTAGTCTTGGGGCTACTGTAGCCCTTTCACTGTCTGGCTCTCTTTTCTACTTTCAATAAATGCACACCCTTACTGCCTTTTCTGTGTGTCTTGCCCAACTCTGCTCAGGACAAGAAGTACCTGAAAGGAAGACCCCTGGGCCCACCATCTGCTAACAGCTCTGTAGCGAGACAGGCCCTCCAGCAGGCTGGCTAAAGGACATGAACAGAGCTCATCCCATTATGGCTGGGAAGGCTGGGAGGCCAGGGTCCATGTCCGTTTTGCACAGGTGTGGCAAGGGGATGCAGGGCCAGACCTAGTAGGGACGCTGCACATGGCCCAGGAAAGGGCAGAGGTGGCTCCTGGGGAAGCCAACGCCTCTCCTTCCCACAGCTCAGGAGGCAGGGACACCCACACACTGGTTCAGGGGTGCAAAAGGCTCCAAAGTGAGCCTTGTCCCACACAGTGGCCCAAGCTCCTCCCTCCTCCGCAGCTGATTCCCTTGGGGAAATATAAACAAGTGTTTGTGTTTCCCGCCCCTCGTACCACACACAAGGCAGCCGCTGCTTGCCTGTCCTTAATTCACCTTTCACAGGGAGCCTAGATCTCATTTTCCACAGCAGTGGTGCCACAGACTTTGTGTCCTCATCCCTTAGTGCATATGGTGATGGTGCGACGGTGTTCGGAGGCAAGGCCTTTGCAGTGCTTCACTTTAGAAGAGGTCCAGAGGGGGC